ACTGTCTGACGCGTCTGCCTCCGCGACCCGAAAGGAGAAGCGGCGATGGAAGATGAAGATGAAGATGTAATTGCTCTTGCAGCTCTGACTTTCTCAGAATCCTTGCCAAAAAAATAGGATGGATCGCCGGTGAAGTTCTTTTCGAGCTTGGAAAGCGTTGAATTGGCTGCAATTCGCATGGTGCAAAAACAAAGCGCGCTGAAGTTTCGGGTGCAGAGGGTGAGTGTCATTAGTCAGTGCGATATGATCTAGAAGAAAAACAATATCTGTTGCAAATGTTTTCTCACGAAGCTGCCAGCAATTTCTTCAGCAGATATTCTAATATCCTAGCTATTAGCATTACGGATCGACACAGTAAACTGAAGTCTCTCTTCATTAGGCTTATGAGAGGTTAATTGTTGTGACTGTATTTGAGTTTACATCAGTCAACGACCTGGACTTCCAAAAGTCAGAATTTGGAAAAACAGAAATGCTACAGATATCCGGAATTTGCGGGTTTGTGATCATCGCCTTGAGCCGTTGCATAAGCAGAACGTCTCTGGATCGTGGTATCCGTTTTATTGGCATTTATACAACTTTCATATAATGTTCCGGTTACTGTGTCGTAGACGGAAATATTCCTCTTCAAAAGCAGATCTGCCTCTACCTTGTTTCTCTGTGTTGCTTGCAGTTTTACTGGATGTCTGCCGTGTTGCGGCTCCCGCATGACTTGCTGGCGGGTTGGAGTAAATGGTTTCTACTCAGTCAGTTTGTCTAACAGGGATAATCTGTTTTTTAATTTTCACTTCAACTGAGGCCACCTGTGCCTAGAAGAACATGGAATCATTCCTTACGTAGTTCTCGCATTTAACCCTTATGTGTCGAAGTCACCGCTACTGTACGCAGTCAGTATGTCGTTCTTGGTTCTTGGTCCTTCGTTAGATCAGCTATCTCCATGCCGTTAAACAACATTGACCTGACGGAGGCAAGACACAGGTGGATTTTTATTTAAAGGTTAATTTTTATTTAAAAATTTATTTATATACCACTTTCTCGGTCCAAATATTTGACAGGTTACCGAAACTACTAGATGCGAGGACAATCCGCCTATTTAACTGTAATTTGACAGTCTCTGGATGATTGATCAGACATGCTTGAACTGGTCTATTACCTTTAGAGATTTCCCTCTCCGTTTGACTAATAGTTGAGTTTTTTCTGATGTGCTCCTTTTTACTTTGGATTTCCGGTCATAAGGATCGAAGAGGTCTTTCACAGCTGCGTTGCGATCAGAAGCTGTCAGATGACAGAGTCTGTTCGTCTTACTACTCTCAAGATCAGTATCATCTGTATACTCCGTGTCAGTAAGATATCTAATCAGACGAATATCTGGAATGTCATGCAGAATAATGTTTTAGTCGTCATGACTTTAACAGTTAGCATCAATGGCGACTATTTAGATACAGAGAAGCCACTGAAAATAGAATCTGCATAGCCTTGAAGAGCCTTGCATATCTTTGGCGACGAAAGTGTGGCATTTAATAGGTATAAGACCCCCGTATGACAAAAAGTAGAAAATGGATATTTTTTATGATTGACCGTCTTAAAAGTAATGGTACAACATGTTTTATCTGCATTTGCACCTGATTTATTTATTATTTCGTCCTAACAACGATCAATGTGGGATCGACATAAATGGTCGTGGATAAATGAATGGCGCTGATGATAAAATCAAGAAAGAAAACAATCAGAAATAGACATGACTCGGCGTCGACACAGATTTTCGATGTCGTCTTAGATAGAACTTTGTTTAATTCAATTTCTGTTTTATTTTTTTTCACCGAGTTTCATAGTCTACAGGTAAATCCTAGGATGATATAGCTAAGCTACAAACTATCACAATCTGCGTTTAGCTGACGAGGAGCCGTTGCACCAATCAGAAAAGTGTCCGCAGGCCATCGCCCTGACGGGAAACGGGTTGAGATCCTGGTGCAGTAGCTTGAATTCATATTTCGTTTAGTTAGTTGTTCTTTTTATGCTCTGTCTCCTTGGAGCAAAAACTTCTAAAGGGAAATTAACTCCATCTTATTTCATCCTGCCTTGACGGTATTCCCTTTCTTTGATCGTTGTCCGGTCACTGCGACAAGAACAAAATGGTGAAAAAGTACAAAGCATATTAGCGGAAAAGTTATGATTGACGCAACTCTTTCAATCAGATCTTGGTGATCGTTAAGCTTCGTATATTTTTAAGCATTGTTTATTTTGAATCATTGTTATTTATCGATGTCACAGTGCCTGGAGCTGTTTGTTCACCCAGAATATTTTTTGTTTATGTCCTGTAGTTTGTTCTTCATGGCTTTCTTTGTGCATGACCTTGAAAATTATCGTTCTGTTTCGTAGCATATATGAAATACCATTGTAGGCTGCAAGGGTACTACTGGAAAATGGAAGCAACCCGAACCAACCGGCCAGCGTCAAAGATGTACCCATTCACTTGGCTAGCGCTAGGGGATTCACATCCATTGTTGAACTTCTGCTCAGCCATCACGCCAACGGTGAACGAGCTTTTTTGTAATTTTCACAATACTCGAAAGTGTAATGCTGCGGTTGCTTTTTTAGTTGGCATTCGTGACGACGAAGGAAACGGCGCTATTCACTTCTGTTGTAAAGGTGGTCACGTGTCAACGCTGAATCTGTTGCTACAACAGGACGGAGTCAAGGTTCATGAACCGAACATTTACGGAGACACTCCTCTTCACATGTATGATTCATGTTGCTGTTGTAGGCCATTGAAGGTGATATTCTGTAATGTAGCTCCGTAAGGACAGTTATGGGAAAGCAAATCAGATCTTCCTGAGGAGTGGTTGTTCTACTTGCAAATCTAATCACGGTATTTATGTCGCAACAAATGCGTAGCGGCAAGAAACGGAGGAGGACGTTAAAAAGCGAAATGCATTGGAGGGTTTTTCTTTAGTGATGAGTCACACACTCTGTGACCAGGCCACGATATCAGAAACTTATCAGTTGATTTTTCTTCGCCTTTGAGGCAGCTCTCCTAGTACTGGAAGAAAAATCTACTAGTACTAGATTTTTCTAGTAGATTTTTTCCTAGTACTGGAATGTATGGGTAGAAAAATTTGCTGTCGCCATCCGTTTTAATCCAAAACCAAGGATTCATTCTGTAAAATCTTGCCATTTCTTGCTTTCTGCTTTTTAAATAACTGTATTCGATTCAAGTCAGTTGCGGCTTACTGATAAAAATTGGGGAGGGGCAGAGGTGTAATTATTTAAGAGGTTGCTTTGCACGTTGAAATGCCGGGTACAGACTCGATGAATTTTTTCATTAACTACTAGTTTCCTTAAACAGTAAATGCACCCTGCTGCACTTCGGTGCAATTAGCCAAAAACCGGATGGCAGGGCATTAAGCTGCGAATAATAAGGAGGTAATGGTGCATTTATATGGTCATGCCAAAGAATGCGAGACATGCGGCCACACCGTCTGATGCGTCACTTTTATGACTGAAATTCGCCGTGACCGACCTTATAGCTGACTAAGGTCAGCACGGGGCGTAAATTAAAAAATTCAATTGATTTTAAAAAATTAACTCACAAGGCTGCTGTACTTCACAGAATTTTCCCATTGTGTTCTATTGCGTTTTCGATATCTTGATTATTGCGTGATAAGTGGTTTAGCTTGCGTTAAATATATTTGCGAAAGCTTATGTTCCAAGCTTCGGCACGTTTTTTACTCTGGAGAATATTGATGAGTTAAAAATCGAAACTTTTATAGTGGTCTGCTGTCCAAACATATCTATGACGTAACTATCTGTTTAATGATTCATGTTCACGTAACATATTTTCAATGTAACTACTGATATGAAGTTAAATAACTAATTTTAGCGTTCTGTTAGTGAAAATGCTTTGATTCGATGCCGTAGTGAGCTCTCCACAAATACAGCATCGATTCTCATGTTGTGGAGAGTAACACCAGAGTATGGAATCACATTCCATGGTGAAGAACGGGGTGTTTTTTTTGCTTGAAGATGTGTTGTATTCCCTGAAACGATCGACTAAAGATACAGTGATAATCAGTGAGCGACGTACCTCCTTATTTGTCATAAGTATATCTGGCTAGTCAAACTAAACTCTGACAACAAACCC